TATTGAGACAAATGAACTGCGAAACAGAATTCATTCCTACAGTAAAAATGAGAAATATAAAGTTTTGCAAGTTATAAACCACACTAAAATAGAGGGAAGGCCGATCAGAGGATGAAATCGAATTTCCAACTAAAGAAGAAACCTGCAACCGTATTACGGAAACGTAGCCTAATCCATTCAAGATTGATCTTTTGATCATTTAATGCAGGGAAAGTAAGGCTTTGGATCTGATAAGGTAGGATGTCTTTAATGGGAAGAACAGGGACGATATTCTTGTAGTAGGTCTAAACGATTCGTCAATAGCCGATCTGACAACGACTAGACATATGATATTCAATGTTTCAGAAACTATATTTTTCTTCATAGAAGGGACAGTTAAGAGGAAATAAAGGGTGAAATACATAATAGGATAACAGGCATGGCTTTTGAAACGGCACATGCACATTATAAATTTTTATCGACTTACAGCCTGTTTTTGTAAAATTCCAAACGAACGAATTCGAGTGACTTACGACCAAACTCCTTGGTTTTGAAAAATATGGCATTTATTTTTATTTTGTATCAGAAAACATTTATAAACATAAATAAAGGTTTGGTCGTAAGTCACTCGAATTCGTTCGTTTGGAATTTTACAAAAACAGGCTGTTAATCTATTTTATGAGAATTTACTTGGAAAATATGTAACGGACTTGACAATTTAAACCCACTGGTTTAACGACATCCAGTACAATGTAAATGTACTATTATTTCGTTGTACGATATGTCAATTTATAAAGAAAATTCAGAGGCAAATTTAAATTTGGACGCCGTTCTCCTTTATTCTTTTACATAATACAATGCCAACTTAATATGTCATGCTTCAAATCCCTGTATGTGTCTTTCCCTTAACTCCAAAAAATATCACCGCTGTAAAATATATATAAGTCGAAGGTCCCGAAATAGTTGTCCTCTTTATTACATATCGTTTATTGCCTGTTCCTTGACTGTCATTATAAACGATTTCGACTATAAATGCAGCAGCGACATCTAGATTTCAGGTGCAGATGATAAATAAATTTTTTTCAGTCGTTCATTGGATATGGTGTATTGATTTATCTATAGCAATTATCTACTAATTTTATCTATGTCTGGTAATATGAAATAAACACAGACAATATGGCAACATGGGATGGCCACTTCTTGTTGGGTTGTGGCTTTGGTAAACAGAGTGCAATTGGAAACCATTTAATATGGATTTGTTTAAAAGGTTGTTGCGGGTAAAGTTTGATGGCTTTGAAATTGGAAGAAAAATTTAAGATCTCAAATCGAATAAGAAATTTTGCAATAAAAATGAGAATGTGAATTGTTCAACTGGGCTAAAAGAATCTTAGAGATTTCAAAGACAAATACAACCGTCTTAGAATGCCGAAGGAAAACAGAAGCTGATAAGATGGTTAGGTGCGCGAGGAAATCGCCATCGTTCACTACAAGAAATAAGCAGTTATCCGAAACGCAAATTGCCAGAATGAACCGAAAAAAAACAAGACTGAAAAGCAAGCTAATGCTCAGAAGGATAAACCTTACGGCCCCTTCACTTCCTAGGAAATGGCAAAGAGGATTCGGTCTTAGGAAGAGCAGGCGAACGCAAAACCCGCAAAAAGAACTTCCCGTTGACTAATAGGAAGAGAAAGCATAGCCTACCAACTGAAGGTGGCGATGCCGACTGTAATATCGAGAAGACGAGCACTGCATCCGAGTCTCCGTGTAGCCGTGCTACTCAAAAATTAATAATCGGAATCCACGTAAGAGGAAGACAGCGCGGCACATATGGTAAGGTAGCGTGAAAGGGGCGAGCTATGATATGCAGTGATCCACGAAAACATCGCGTCTGGAAAACTAAAAAAGAGAGAGCCACAATGAGGTGAAAGATGTGGTAAACAATAATTGCATGGAGAAGGGGCGACCCCATTGATCTGGATAGCTGCAGGGACTATCTAATGCTAGAGTTTGATTTATAAACGAGCATAGAAGCTATGAGGAAACCAGTGGCAGATATCGTCCCGATAAACGAGAGAATCAAACTTAAACTGGCGAGGAAACACGACCTTCCTCAAGTACAAAAGGCAATAGATTTCGTCAGAAAATGGGTCAGCGAGTCGCGACAGAACGCCTGTTGGAAATCTTTGGTCTACTGAACAGAATACAGCTGGAGAAGAAATGGGAAGTCTACCACAGCGAGGAGAACGAAGATGGAACTCTACTTGTGGTGGGCCTAGACAGTTCTTTAATGACAAGTCTGATCAAGACTAAGGCAGGATGTATTACGTGTCTAACGCAGTCTTCTTCAAGATTAGGAAGGCAATGATTAGAGAAGAGAATGCCATGAAGAGTGAAGAGGAAGAAACACCTAGCAACAAAAGGGAGGGAGCCGTTTACTGGAGGACAATTGACAGAGGTCAATCAGGGAGACGGTATGTATTTATTCTGTCAAGCCTATGTTTTGCCTTACCTTGGATATAACGAACTTCTTCTATAACGAACTTTTTTGCCTGGTCCCTACTAGTTAGCTTTAACCGTACTCAACTGTATAAAATTGGGTTAATACAGAAACCTTGGACAGTAAAATATAAGGTCTCTGGCTTGAACTACATAAACTACCTATTATTGTGGGCAAACACAGGTTCCCAACCAAGAACCTGTATAATATGTCACACACATTTAAGTTTTCTCTTCTCCCCAATGTTGTCAACATCGGATGTGACTACACTTCCAAAGTGTCAAAATTTGGAAAATTTGTTAATCAAATATGAAGTAAATGGAGTTCCCGATTTAATCCAAATTGTTCACATTGTAATATTTCTTCCAAAATTAAATTAAGTTTGAAGATGGGAAATATAGGTCCACTCTCACACAAACTGATCCAACATTTTGCTGAAAATTAATTTTGTACAACCTATTATTTTTACTAAGCCCAGATCAAGTCTAAAGATGGAACACATTGGTTCACTCCTTGTGGTACCTACCCAACATTTGGTCAAAATTTTCCATTTTTATGCATCCAATATTAAGCGAATGAAATGTCGATTTGACCCAAACTTTGCACATCGTCGTAATTTTATCCACTCTAAATCAAGTTCGAAAATGGCACCACTCGTTCTGGTACTCCCAAACTGGTACTCGATTGATTTCAAAAAACCCCAACCAGACTACCATTGTGTGACATTTGCCATAAGTAAAAAAACTCAAATTTTATATTTCATAAATATTTGTGTGTGTGTATTTTATTTATCAATAGATTTGTTTAGTTTAATAATTTTTTTGGGAAAAAAATTGGTTTTTGTTTAAATATAGTTTTTCTGTTGGTTGGTGTCATTTGATCGTTCGAGGACGATTGTTTCGCTTAATAATACTAATTAAAACACTTAAAAACAAACGAATATTAATATATTTATAATTATAATTATTTTATATATAAAGCAACTTGGGTTCGGAAATGAAATGGAGAAAGGAAAAAAATACAATAACTAAAAAGGGAGATGTTTGTAATAAAATAAATATGTTAGATGTTAAAAATTTGGATTTTTGGGTTCAAAATTTGGACCATAATTTAGTTTTCGACTTTGAAGGGTTTCTTTATATCCATATCTGTTTGATTCGCCTTATTTAGATTTTTGTGGAAAATGGAGTGTTTGGTTTTGTATTAGAAGAAAATAGATAGGAGGAGTCCGGTTTATGGTAGTTAGTTAATTTTTGTTTTTTTTTTTATAATATTGTTGTTGGTTTTTGGTTATTGCTTTTTAATTTTTTTTGCTTTTTTAATTTATATTTTGTTTTTCTTTTTTGTTAAATTTAAATTTAAAAGCCATTGATTTTTGTAAAATAAAAGCTTTCGTTTTTATTGAATTTTTTTGTTTGTTATATTTGAGTTTTGTTTAACTATATATTTAAAATTAATAAAAAAAATAAAACAAAAATTAAATATATTAAATTTTTGTTGTTGTATTGGTGTTGTGGTGGAAAACATAGAGACAAACATTTACACACGACTACAAGTTAAAAATTAAAAACACAGCAGGAAAATTTTACAATTTTCTTACCGCAAAGAACACAACAACAAAGAGAGCCACCACCATGGAATGGCGTTTAACCCTTTGAGGTGCTTCATGAAATTATAACTTTGGTTAAAATTATTATTATTTATAAATTATAACATACATATTTATATAAAATATAGAATATAATAATAAAAAAAAATTAATATTTTACAGATTTTAAAATTTGTTTTGTTTTGATTAAATATAAAATCAAGGTTTTGTAACATTTTGTGATTATTCTTTTTTTGCAAATTTTATTCTTTTAAATATTTAAAAATGTTTTATTTTTATTTTTTGTAATCGCTTCTAAAGAAACAGGTTTGTTGTTTTATATATAATTTGTTTTATAGCTTAAAATTTAATAATATTTATAAATTATAAAATTATATTTTTAGCATACAATACAAGAAAAAAGAGGGTATTAAGAACTTAAAATTAGGCCAAAAAAGAGAAATTAAATTTAAAAAATAGCAAAATTTTCGTAAAAAACAATACCCACTACTGAAATTTTCTTTGTTGGGGGTAGAGGTGATTATAAATTACTATTTTTTATTTTTTAATATATATAATAAATTTTTATTTTTTTTTTGAATTAACTTAAAAATGAAAAACACTCTTTAAGAGAATTGGGGGATTGTAGATTTTTTGTTTTGTTTTTAGTTTAAAGGGGGAAATTCCATTATTTTTCAAAACAGATATTAAAATACTTTTTTTGTTTTAAAACTTAACATTAAAGACTTTCTTTTAAAAATTATAAATATATAAATACAGGAGACAGGAGCAGGTAAAACAGCAGTTAAAAATACAAATAAAAATTATTTTTAATAGATTATACAGATTCTTAAAGAAGAGGTGAGGTGTGTGTGTGGGGGAGCAATAACTTCAAAGCTAAGTTTTCAGTTTTCTTTTTTGTGTTTTTGATAAATATTTTAGTTAATTGCTAAACTTATTGCTGCGTTTGATTTTGCTGTTGATGTTGTGTCTCATAGCGTTGCCTTAGCACAGTCAAGGCGCTCAGCAAACGGCTATTGGCTGCATCCAAGGCAGCAATTTGACCCTGTTGTTCCTCAATTACCCGCTGCTTGTGTGACAATGCCAGCGACATTTTCAATTGCTCACGTCGTAATTCCTCCTCCATGGTTATTAATCTGGAAGAAATAAAAGAAACAAATACATTAATATCAGATTTTGGGTTAAGGGTTTTGTAAAAAATTTAAAAAAAAAATCTCACAAGAATATTAAACAAAATGAGAAAATTTTGAAAACATTTTTTGAGATTAGGTTAAAAAAAAAAAAAAAATAATATAAAAATCTAAAAATATCATTGAACAAGGTATTTCAAATCGTTTTTTAAAAAAGAGATGAACATATTAATTGATATGATATTTAGTCAAAATCGTAAATTTTTTTTAATATTTTTTTTAGGTTAGTTTTTAAAAAAATCATATTATTTTGTTAAACAATCGGATTTATTTATTTTTAAATTAGAAAATGACTAAAATAAAAAATCTATTTCAAATTGATTTTAAAAATACTATACTGAAAATATTAATTGATATGAAATGTAGTCCAAATCGAAATATTTTTAATTTTTTTAGGTTAGATTTTTTAAAAAGTCATATAAATCCATTAAACATTCTGATTTTTTTATTTTTAAATTCTAAAATGGCAAGAATAAAATATTTTATTCCAAAATGCTTTTAAAAATACTAAAAAGAAACTGTATTGAAAAAATATTTTTTGAGGTTAGAATTAAAACAAAAAAAAAATCAAAGAAAACCCTTTAGAGTATTGTTTTTTTATAATTTTATTAACATACAAATTAGAATAAAAAATGAAAACTTTAAAATTTTTAAACAATTGGAATAAAAATTAAATTTTGAAAAAATGAGGTTAGGTTTAAAATTATTAAATTTATTTAAATGCCAAAGAAACTAGAGAAATTATTTAATTTATAACTAATATAAAAAAATATTTTTCAAATTGCTTTTAAAAATATTAAAAAACCTTTTGAAACAAAAACATTTTTGAGGATAGGATACAAAAAATGGTCTTTGGGATAATTTTTGTATTTTTTTATTATCATAAAAATTTGAATAAAAAATAAAACTTTTATATTGTTAAACAAATTGGAGAAAATATAAATTTTGAAAAAAATTGAGGTTAGGTTTTTTTTAAATTTCTTATAAATGCCAAAGAACTAGGGGTTTGGTTTTATTTAGTATCCTATTTATTACAATAAAAATAATACATTATTTATATTCTTAAAAAAAATAAAAATAACCAAAATTATGAATTTTGAAAAATTTAGTTTGAGGTTAGGTTTTCAAAAATTTATATAAATGGCTTTGAACATTGGAATTTATTTCATCATCAATTTGCTTTTAAAAACACTAAAGAGGTGAATTTTGAAAACCACACATTAGGTTAGGTTTTTGGATATTTTTTTTAGGTTAGGTTTTTTTTTTTAAAATTCACTGAAATATCGAAGAACAAGAGGTTTTGTTTTAATTTATTATCATACCTATTAGAATAAAATATGAAAACCTTTATATTGCGAAGAAATTTATCCACAATTAAAAATTTTGAAAAATTTAGTTTGAGGTTAGGTTTTCAAAAATTTATATGAATGTCTTTGAACATTGGGTTTTATATAATTTTAAATTAGAAACGGTAATAGAATAAAAAAATATTAAAATTGCTCTAAAAAGGTGAATTTTGAAAACCACAAATTGAAGTTTTTGTGAAAAAATTAATTGGCATATTTCTTAGCAATTCTACTAAAGTTAAATTTTGTCTATCCATATAAAATATATATATTTAAAAAAATATAAACAGAAGATTTCTTGGAATCAAAATTGTTAGAAAATTCCTCAAATTTGGCAAAATAATATTTTGAGATAAGGTTTGGAAAATGGCGAAAGAATCCTCAATCAATTATTAAAAAAAATTGTTAAAATGAGTAGAAAAAAATTAATTTCACTACTAGAATTGCTAACAAATAGGTCAAAGTTCAATACTAAAAAAATTTTTTTTTTAGGTTTTAAAATTCATATAAATCCATATATTGAAATTTAAAATTAAATAGACTCTAAATTATTTGTAAAAAAATACCAAAACTACTAATTTGTTAAAAATCATTGAGGTTATAGTTTTTTAAAATCCTTTGTTTCTATTTATTAAATTTTTAAAATAAAACCTTAATAGAAAAAAATATTTTTACTAGAATTACTAAAAAATTGCCACATTTAAATATTTCGAAAAAATTGAGGTTAGATTTTTAAATTCCAATAAATCTATTTATTATTTTGTTTCTTTTTTTAATTTTAAATTTAAAAAAAAATATCAAAACCCCTAATTTAAAAAAAAAAATGTTTTTTAAAATTCATATAAATCCATTTATTGAAATTTAAAATTAAATAGACATTAAATTATTTGAAAAAAGAAAAAATAAATACCAAAACTCCTAATTTGTGAAAATTTTATAGGGTTTTCGAATTCATATAAATCCATTTAAAATATAATGGTTTTCCGTGTTCAAATACGTTATATTAAAAGAAATTGTTTCCAAACTGGATTAGAAGAATAAAAAAAATAATTCATATATTTTTAAAACCATTTTTTAAACAATTTTGATGTTAAATTTTTGGGGTATAAGTCTTTAAAATCAATTTCTCTAATAATTTTTATTCAAATTAAAAACATAAATTTTTATAAATTTTTTAAAACTATTACACAAACAAATTTAATTTTTTTAAATATTTTTTTTGAGGTTAGTTTCTAGACCTACTAGACCTACAACTTTCTAGACCTACAACTATTTCCAATTTATCCCATTTATCTTTTCCATCTTACCTATCAATAATACTCCTCATTGTCGATTCCGATTGCAAGCTCAAATTGTTAGCCGTCAGGCTGGCCACACCGTTTGGTCCACAACCATTGAAACCATTGCAACGTTGCAAGGCAAACAATTCATCGCTGGAATCACGCAACTCAGCCTCATCACGATCCAAGGTGTGCCTTAAAGTATCCAAAGTTTCTTGCAACAATTGGATTTCACCATTTTGATCATTCAAATTCGAGGACTGGAGGCCATTTGAAATGTTGTTGACATGATTGCGGGGTTGGCGGCGACGCTTGTTGCCCTCGTGGGGAGGATATTGACCTATAAAAAACATTTTATTAACTATTACTTTATTATGTTCTTTCTCTCCACTCTTACCCTCTGTATCTGTTGAACTATCCGATAGGGTCCTGGCCGAATCTAAACTCAAACGCCTTTGATAGCGGCCATTGCTGGCCAAAACCAAAGCTCCACAATTGTTTGAACCCCCCTGCTGTTGTTGCTGCTGCCTTTGGGAATTGTTGTAAATTGCCACTGTACCGGGATGCACGACACCACTGCTGCCACCCGACGAAGCCGATGATGAGGTCATATAACTGCTGCTACCACCACCGCCATTGTTCAATGGGGCATAAATATCCTCCCTTTTAAATTGTGGATTTGTTCTGGGCATACGTTGTTGTTGTTGCTGTGATTGTGACACATTGTTGTAACCGGGCATATTTGAACTAGATGCTGATGATGTACTGCCACCACTCAAGGTACGCTGGGCATCCAAGTGGCCATGTGATGGAGATTTCAACAGCTTATTTACCGGAGCATAATTGTGATAATTATCTGTGGACAAGCGTTCCTCACTGGAAGAGGGTGTTAGTGGGGCGGCACCATTTAGTAATGCGGCCCTAGCTGCCACCAAACCACCAGCATTCGATTTGGTCCTACCACTACTGTTATTGTTGCCACCGAACAACTGTTGATGGGCACTCAAACCCGAATTGTAGTTATTCGAGCCGCCGTTGGATCTTTGGTGATGGTGGTGATGATGATGGTGGCCTCCGCCCTGTGATGATGCCGTTGATGAATTCTGTTGCAATTGATAACTGGGATTCTTAAATGCCAATGGAGCTGCCATGCCAGATTTTTGTTGATGACTTTGATTTGTGTTGTTGTCCTCACGACTTTGTGTGGTAATACTTTGGTATCCTGAACTAGAACCGTGGCTGGTTTTACCCGATAGCTGTTCCTTGTTATTTTTGCCAGATGAGGAGGAGGAGGAGGCTGGTTGTACCTCACCCACCACTGCATGCTCCTCGGCATACTTAAAGAGATCATCTAAATCCTCCAAATTCATGGGCATGTTTGAATTGGGATTTGAATCTCGTGTACGCGACGAAGCAGGATAGGCGGCAGAGATTTTATGGGATAGCGGTGAACTGGAGTGATCGGGAATGCCCAAATTCAATTTGCTTGGAGTACGATCGCTGAGCGTTAGACTCAGTGAGGAATTATTTAAATTCCTTTGTTGTAGTTTCTGCTGCTGGGAAGCATTCAACATGCTGACAGCACTGCTGACTACACCACCGGCCTGATTGGCTTGATTTTTCAGCAGAGGAGTGGGTGATTTGCGTACAAAAGCACTGTTCGTGTCCAAACCGGAAATTTGTATAAAATCTCCGGTGGACTCGTCGTAGTTGTTATTGCCTCTTGGTAGGGTGGTGGCCCGCACTTGGCCACCAGCTGAACTAACTTCGCTGTCATTGCCATTGTGGCTGGCAGTGGAAAGGTTGCCATTGGAACTGGTCGCTGTGTAATACAAACGATCCATGGTATTTGTAGCACTGGCATTGGGTGCGGGAGGACAGTGGTGATTCACTCCACCGGCCATCATTAGCTGGGACGAGGAGGCAATTGAAGTTTGACTTTGGGCATGTTGCATGCCACCCGTATAGGCCAGACCAGCAATGGAGGTCTGCGAATTAGAGTGGCGTTTATCCAAATTGGCATGTTGTTGCTGCTGCTGTTGTTGTTGTTGCTGTTGCAGTAAACCATTGACTGTGGGATCATTGTAACGGAAAATGTTCTTTTCCAAAGAGCTGGGAGTGAGCACACCGCGCATAATGCCCCTTTCAGCTGGTATGGGTTTGGTGACCACAGCATGCTGAGGCTGGGCCAGTTGGGCCTGCTGTTGGACCACACCACTTTGAGCTGAACTCTGTGAGGTCATCATTTCATCTGGGTTGCGATTCTCTTGATTTTCACTTGTCGACGAGGTTGACATCATCATCATGTTGTTGCAGGGCATGTGTTGCATATAGTTGTTGCTTTCTTTGGCTTTGGTTATTTCATCCAAAATATGCTGCAAGGGGTCCAGGTCATGTTGACGGGCCTCGGGCAATTTGGAAACACTTTCACTCAACAGCATATGGAGTATGGACAATTGTTTGCCTTGATCAATGTAACCGGCCCAATCCAAGATGGACTCAGGAGTTGTGTGTTCAGGGCGGGTGGAAATATTCTGGAGGAATTCTTTCATTTTGGGAGCCTCTTGCTCCAGGAAATCATTGAGGAATTCCATGAAGTTCTCTTTACCCTGGAAACGGGTGAAATTGGCCAAGGTTTGCAGAGTCTTGGCGACCAAGGTAAGGTTACGGGTGGCTCGGGATGACGGTAATTCTGAAAGGGAGATAAAAAACAAAAGTTAAATAAGGAAACCTAATTTGATTTAAAGAAATCCTCAACTCACCATTGGTAATATTGAACAGACTGGGCGACAATATGGCCGGACACAAGAACCTCAAAAAGATGGATGCCGATATCAAATTATCAGCCATATCTTGCCGACCCAATTGCTCCAATCGTTCACGGAATGTGGCAAAACAGTTACGCAACTGTGTGGGGAAATTCTTGTGTGACTCATAGATACATTGCCAGGCATTGCGCACGGCAGCCCTCAATGAGGCCTGTTGTCTTTGCAGCGAACCAGTCGCTTTGGTGGGATCCACTTCACAATCACGATCCGATTGTATGATTTCATTAATGGGCCCAGCCAAAGTGTCTTGCAAATATTGTTCGCCAGTCAGTTTCAAGAAAGCCTCCATACTCTTGGTGGCCAAAGAATTGCCGCGGAAGGTCAAACGTTGATCACCGACACGCAACAAATCCAAAGCAACAACATCAGTGAGAAAGGCTCCCGCCAAACCCTGGGCATGCATCAACAATACCAATGATTGGCCAATATCTTCTTTGGCTTTAACACCAATCACCGGTTCCAGGGTTTCACACACCTTCTTATAGTTCTCCTTCAAATAGGTCAAGAAATCCGCATACACATTGATGGGCAATATATCAATACTTTGGAAACGACATTTAATCCGCAATGTGGGTATCACTTCCTTGCCATTACGATTGAGGCTATCGTTTTTCTCACTCAATATCGGATACCAATCTTCGGAGAAGAGACGTGTTGTCACCTCATGGATGGGTATCTTCACCGAACCCACAAACATATGTTTGTCACGTTTCTTTTTCTTTTCCACTTCGCGGAATACATTCACCGTAATCACATTGATATCAGGTATATCGGGAAAATCGAAATATTCGCCCCAGAACAGCAAATCAGTTTGTAGCTTTACACTGGTACGACCATACAGCGTCTTATCCAGATGCAGTTCGCAAAAGTATTTTTTCTTTGGTGGTAGATTTTTGGCCTCGTATATCCACATTTTTAGGGAGTTATCGGTGTGGCGGGTGTGTTCAGCATTTGGTGCAATCGATTTGCGTAGGGAGTAGATCCATAAATCACGTTCCTGACGTGAGCCACAGGAGTAATAACGTTCACCGCGTGGTCCACCACGTACTTGGAAACAATAACGGCGACCCAATACCGATTGGTGGACGGGTGCTACACCCACAGCACCGGTGCAAGAGAGATCTGGGAGAAAAAGAAAAAAATTAGTTTGATATTCGGGAGAGAGAGAGAGAGCGATAGAACTTACCTATGGTTGACATTACTGCATGACTGGATAATAAACTTTCGTGTGAACGAGAGCCGCGTAAGCCTCCCGAACCTCGTTTAGTGCGTTCTAATTTGGTAACAGACTTTGTACGTTTCAAAGCATTCGTTCTGAAAATAATAGAAAAAATATTGGAATTAGTAAAAAAAAGAAGACAAAATTAAAGTTAAAAATTGTTTAAACTGTGTAAAATCCGGTTTGTTCAAAACCGTGTAAAACCCGATAAATTATTTTCAAAAACCGGTTCAAATTGCTGCGAAATTTGTTGTTGTATATTTATATTCTTACATCAATAACGTATTATAGTAATATTTTTGCAAATTTTTCAGTGAAACCCGGGTTTAAACCGGTTCGAAAGAAATGTGAACCAGTTCTAATTTCTTGCAAATCATAGAAAAACTATTTTTATTTCATTTAGAAGGTAAATAAAGTATTTTCAACTTCAAAAAAATGTGTGAAAACGGTTCATAACCGATATATTTTTTTCAAACCCGGTTCAAAAATATTCCATTTATAAGAAATTTGTAGTTGTCATATTATATTTTTAGTTGGAAATCAATACTTATTAATATTTTAGCAAAAATTTTCAACGAAAACCGGTTCAAAAAAATTTGAACCGGGTCCAATATTTTTTCAAATTTTATTTTTTGGAATTTAGAAGATAAACAAAGGACATTTATGCCCAATTATAAATAAAACCGTCCCAAAACCTTTTAATAACCGAAATATTCTTCTCAAACCCGGTTCAAAAATAATTAATCAGTTAGAAATTTGTGGTTGTCGAATTATATTTTTAGTGGAAAAGCATTTTTTTGTAATATTTTAGCAAATTTTTAAAAGAAACCCGGTTTTAACCTGGTTCAAAAAAAATCGGAACCGGTTCCAGACCCGGTTCAAAAATAATCCATTTGCTAGAAATTTCTTGTTGTCTTATTATATTTTTGCTTGAATAACATAACTTACTAATATTTTCGTACATTTTTTAACTAAATCCGATTTTAACCCGGTTTGAAAAAATTCAGAAACAAATTGTTTTTAAATCCTAAAAAACTATTTTTATCTAATTTCAAAGCCTATACTGAGTTTTTAATATCTAAAATAAGGTATTTCAGCGTAGAATTGGCTAAAACCGCTTTAGAACTGCTACATGGTTTTCAAACCCGGTTCAAAAATAATTTATTAGTTAAAAATTCGTGGTTATTATATTTATAGTTAAACAACATAACTTATTAATATTTAAGTAAATTTTTCATCGAAACCCGGTTTTAACCCGGTTCCAAAAAATCAGAACCGGTTCCAATATTTTTCCAATTCCTATTTTATGGAATTTAGAAGCTAAATAAAAGACTTTTAATTTCAAAATATACATAAAATCGTCTTAACCCATTTTAATAACCGCTACATGCGTTTCAAACCCGGGTTAAAAATAATCCATTTGTTAGAAATTTGTGGTTGTGTTTTTATATTTTTGGTTGAATAACATAACTTATTGAAATTTTGATCAAATTTTTAATAAGAACCGGTTTTAACCTGGTTCGAAAAAATTCAGAACCGGTTACAATTTTTTCCAAATCCAATTTTTTGGTATTTTGAAGTTAAGGAAAGGACTTTAAAATGGTCTCAAAACTATTTAAAAACCGATAAATTCTTTCTAAAACCGGTTCAAAAATAAACCTCTGTTTAGAAATTGAATTTTTTTTTATTATTTAGAAATTATATTTTTAATTGAACAACATTACATATTAATATTTTAGCAAAATTTTCAACGAAACCCGGGTTTACCCCGGTTCGAAAAAAATCAGAACCGGATCCGATTTTGTATAAATCCTTTTTTATGGATTTTAAAAGCTAAATAAAATACTTTTAATTCTAAAATATACCTAAAATCGGCTCAAACCCGTTTAATAACCGCTATATGCTTTTAAAACCCGGGTAAAAAATAATCCATTAGTAACAAATTACATTTTTTATTATTAAGAATGTATATTTTTAATTGAACAACATAGCATATTAATATTTTAGCAACATTTCAACGAAATCCGGTTTTAACCCGGTTCGAAAAAAATCTGAACCGGTTCTAAATTTTTTCAAAATTACATTTTTTTAATATAAAAGCTAAATAAAGTACTTTCAACTACCAAATATACCTAAAACCGTCTCAAACCCGTTACAAAATTTATAAAATATTTTCTTTTTGATAAATTTTAAGTTCCCAATAATTTCAGGGAGCTACACTCCCTGAATTGCCATTACGTTCATCGTTTTTTCTGTTCTGTTCCTTTGTTTCCTAAAGTTCATAAAAGGCCCATCAAGCCACATGGATGCCAGCCAATTTTGCCACACATAAATATCGTCAAAAAGCCGATTAATGAGAACAGACCCCTTTTGGCAAAAAAATTCGAGTGATCTATCAAAAGCTACTGAAAGGTGCACTTGTGCACTTCACTAACTAGAGACTCAAACAGAAAACAACAACAACAAAACTCACAGAAAACTCTATCATCATCAACGCGACTACGAACACCACCACTGCAGAATTTTGCCTTCAAATGACTAGCATTCACACATTTTTCTCCCTGAGTCCTCGGGTCTCTTGGTCGTTGTTTGTCGGTCTATTTGTTGGCGGTTTAGAAAAAAATTGGACAAAATCGAAAAAAACAAAGACTTAACCGCAAACAAGCGGCATCAGAAGAAGCACAGCTGGTGTGCTTTATGTGGTTGCACCAATAAAGTTACCACCACCAAAAAAAACCTTCTAGCTGTCCACAGCCATGCACAACCATCCCACCTTCAACCCCTCTATAGCCAGAGCCACCTTCTTCAACATTAATGTGGCAAAAAGCCAGTTGAGAGGCAAGCTGTTACTGAATTTTGTTCATGTAAGCTTTTGTTAACTTGATTTGTTGGTTCAGTGGCTTTGAGGCAAACGACAACAACAAGAAAAACACCAACAACAAAAACAAAATAGAAAAACCTGTACATGAAGAAAAATTGTGTTGTGTTGATGCCACAAATACACAGGCAGACAGACAGACAACAAAGCGAGAATTTTTAAAAAGCAACGGTCTATTCAAAATTCAAATGGCCAACAACAAAGAGAGCAACAACAACTCGGCGGCTTTGTGTGTGACTAATATTTCTTTTTCCTCCACTATGCAAAGTGGCTACTCCTCTTTGAATGGTGGCTAACAGCAGCATAAGTTAGGCGATAAATGGCAAATAAGCCATGGAAATGTGTAACAAGCCTCTACAAAGCTGGAGGGGGGAATTTGGAAACAATTTTCCATAAATTTCCATACCTCTCCCCTTCCTCTCTTCGGGATTATCTTTGCCAAAATAACACACACAGTTTGACTCCGACGAAAATCGGTAGTTAGATACCTGTCGTCTGTGTTAACAGAAACTGCTGCTGCCACTTTTCATTTATTGGCCATAACAAATTGTTTGTTGTTTGGCTTAGAGTCAAACGGAAAATCGAGATAGAGTTGCTGCAGCTTGTCAATAGTTAAGTAACACCATAACCTAACTTAAAACCAAAACTACTTGAATTCGCCCAGCTGGCATTTAGCCATTATCCATAAAAAAACACCCCTTCTCGTCAGACTCCCATTAAGGCAGGCAGGCAGGCAGGCAAGTGTACAAAAAATAATAATAAAGTGGTAGTAGGAAGCCCTAATGAATCATTTTGGCTTTTAGTTTATTTTTTTATTACCAATTTCCTATTTTTATTGTCAATTTCCTTTACGAATATTTTTTTGTTGTTGGCTAAAAGCCACGATTTTTTTGGGGGGAGGGTATTTCCAGGCCAAACGAAGGGTGTGTTCCATGAAATGAACGCCCTTCAAAACTTTATTGAACATAAAAATCTTGAATCCTGGCACAGACATGATTTGGAAAAAGAAACCGGGAAATTAAGACACAATTTTTTGATTTTTGGTACCGGTTACTTGCGGGTTTTAATCGGTTACTTGGCCCCAAGGAGCTTCAAAATGTATTGAATATAGTGTAAATATAACTATAAAATTTTAAATTAACATTTAACGACTTTTCGTAACGGTTACTCAAGAATTTGTAAACGGTTACTCGCATGTTTTAATCGGTTACTTGACCCTAAGGTGCTTTAAAATGCCTTGAATATTGTGTGAATATAACTATAAACTTTTAAATGAATATTTAATGACTTTTCGTAACGGTTACTCAAAATTTTTAAACGGTTACTCGCGGGTTTTAATCGGTTACTTGGTCCCAAGGAGCTTTAAAATGCCTTGAATATAGTGTTAATATAACTACAAACTTTTCAAAAGACAATTTAATGACTTTTCGTAACGGTTACTCAAAAAATTTTAAACGGTTACTTGCCTATTTTCCTCTGTAAATTTCCATAAAAATACAAATGAACGACTACGCAACTATTTTTCCAAGCTAATTGAATTATAAAACAATTTGTTTTCGACATTTTTGAGACGATTACTTGATATTTATAAGCGGTTACTTGTCCATATCTTGGTATCTATTGGAAAAATGTATGAAAAAATAACTATTTTACATAGCCGGGGAGTTTTCTGAATAATTTTAAACATTTTTGATAACGATTACTCAACAATTTTTAAACAGTTACTCGTTCTTTAATACAATTTATTTTCATAAAATCACAAATAAAATACTCCGCAAAATTTTTCATAGCTCGACAAATTAAAAATCTTAATTTTTCCAAATGTTTTAAACGATTACTTGGTATCTTTAAACGGTTACTTTTCATTACTTTGGTTTCTAATACAAAATTTTACAAACAAATCCCACATGAATATAAGGAAAACATTTTTGAGATTATTTTTAAACTTTTGGCATTGGTTACTTGATATTTTTAAACGGTTACTTGGTACTTCTGGCAACAAATGATCATATAATTACAAATATAATGCGGTACAATATTTTCCTAAGTTAAATAATAATTTTTTCAATTATTTTACATTTTTTTTCTACCGATTACTTGATGATATCAAACGGTTACTCGATATTTAGCGTAGCAAAATTTCATATAAGTGCAAATATAATACTGTGAAACGATTTCCTAAGCTAAACAAATTATAATATTAAACTTTTTAGTAAATTTTAAGCGATTACTTGGTATTTTCAGGCGGTTACTCGTCTGTTATACCCACGTAGTTGAATAAAAAAGACAATTAAAAATTTACAGACACGTTTTAAAAAAATCTATGAACATTTTACGTGTGTTTTCGAACAAGTTACTTAGACTTGAGAACCGGTTACTTAGATTTTTAAATCGGTTACCCGTCTATTTTAATGTGTTATTTATTGTAAATGTAATTAACTGTTTGTGAATCCATTTGTAATACATTTACAAACTGATCACTTGGATTTTCGAACCGGTTACTTTCACTTTTAAAGTGGTTACCCGGTAATTTTAATGTGTAATTTATTGAAAATATTATTAATGCATTTGCGAATGCATTTGTAATATATTTACAAACTGATTTCATGTATTTTACAAATGGTTACTTTCGTTTTTGAAGTGGTTACTCGACTATTTTCATGTGCAATTTGTTGAAAATAAAATTAAATATCGGTACATGAATTTCTAATACATTTGCAAACTGATTTCATGCTTTTCAAAACCGGTTACTTTCGTTTTTGAAGTGGTTACTCGGTGATTTAAATGTGTAATACGTTGAAAATATAATTAAATGACTGCGGAAGCATTTGTAACACATTTACAAAATAATTACTTGCATTTCAGAACCGGTTACTTTCACTTTTAATATGGTTACCCGGTGATTTTGATATGTCATTATGTTGTAAATATTATTACAAGTCTATGGATTCGTTTGCAAAATTTTTCGAATCGATTATTTGCATTTCAGAACCGGTTACTTTTACTTTCTAAGTGGTTACCCGTCGATTTGAATGTAAAATTTGTTTTAAATAAAATTTAAAGCCTGTGGTTGCATTTCTAAACCGATTACTTGTATTTCAGAACCGGTTACTTTTATTTTGGAACCGGTTACTCGGTTTTAATTTCAGGTTTTTGCACGTAATTTTTCTTTTTAAAGACTTTATGATAATTGAAAACAATTGAATGATAATATGAACCGGTTTATGCTTAGAAATTAATGATTTGGATTTTATTTAATTTATTATCTATTAAAATTAATTCGAAAAATACTCACCTTTTAGAAAAGAAATTCGTAAATCTTGATGTGGTATTGTTTTCCTGTTGATTTTGTTTTTGACCCAATATGGGTGTCGCTGGTGCTGAGCCACGCCTGCATGCTTTTTCATATGAAGTATCTGAAATTAAAAAAATAAAAAAAATGATATTCAATTATATTAATTTCAGTTTGGTTTTTATTTATAGAAATCCTATTTAAATATTTAATCATATAATGTACGAATGACACAGATTTTTTTATGATTATTACACTTGACTTGTGAGAGGTATCGAATCGAAAACCCACATCCACCGCAATGATGAAGATCAACATAAGTGATAATCAGCAAATACAGAAATGAAAAAAAATTGGCAGATGTATGAATAAAAAAATTGAATCATTAGTCATTGAGGCAGACAGACAGACAGATGAACCAGTCATTCATTCAGTTTGTCAGCAGCCAGCCAGCCATACAAATAAGTAGTTAGGCGAACATCTCAAATGAAATCTTTTTTGAAAATGTTTGGTTTTTTTTTAATTTAAATTATGGATTCGCTTTGATGAGTGTGCAAGGCAGGCACAGTCGCTTTAATAAGTTTTTTTTTTTTTTGATAATCATAATTTGCACTTAAAAACTTGAGGACAAATAAAAATATAATTTTTTATGTTTTTTCTTGATTTATTACAAACCATATGTTGAACAAACAATTTACATTAGATTTTTAATGGCTTGTGAGAAGTAGAAAAAAAACATTCCGGTCACCATGTTTCTTTTTTTGCCTTGTCTCGATTAATCAACCTTTTAACCATGGAAACGAAAAGACAGAATCATGAATTCATTACTTTGTAATTGTGGATTACGGTTAACCAAGATATTTTTTAAAATGCTTTTCCCAGCTTGACTCGTCGGCAATCGGCACAAAGACAAAGAAATAGGAAAACAACAAAAAAAACCTCTGGCTGGCAAATTTCATATAAATCTAAGGCGGCTAATTAATGGAGACATGTCGAGAGAGAGAGTAGTGGAAAAAAATTGTAAATGAATGTAAAGGAAAAAAATTAAACAATGCCACTGGAAGAGTCACAAGAAGTTACCTAACAAGCGCCATTGTTTGTCAATGTCTATTAAATAACCGTTACTTGAGATAGAAATAGATAATTTTTCTAATGGGCAACAAATGAGGCCAAGTAAAGAAAAAAAAAAAAAACGAATTGGAAAGAGAAATATTTTATAGATAATCTTTTGGCTTGCTACATTAATTTAACATTAAAGGCCATACAAATCGATCATGTTCAATGAGGTGGGAATGGTTAGAACCAGTTTTATAAAATATGGAGATTTTTTATTGGTCATAATTTAATTTATTTTTTTTTTGGGAAACATTTCTTATTACCAGTAAATATTGCCTTAAAACCATTTTTTATTAAAATTACTATGCAAATATGACTCAGAAGTGTTTAAAATATGAGAATTTAAAATTTTTGGCGAACCGGTTCAAACCGGTTTTGAACCGGTTATGGCCAAATTTGGTTTCGAATGATTTGTAGATGCATTATGAACATAAATCACCAAGAAATTTTCAAACGTAATTAATTTTAGTGAACCGGTTATGACTAAAATCTATAAAAATTGGAATTAAAAATTAAAAAAAAAATTATAATATGAAATTTTATAATACAATATTATTTAAGAATTTTTATTCCTGAATAAAATTTGTTTAGAAAATCGCATAAAATTAAAAAAAAAAAAATATTTTTATAAAAAATTAAAAGAAAATATATTTTTTAAATAAAATTTCTAAAATTGGTTAAATTGCTCCAATTTAAAAGAAGTGTCATTTTTATTAAACATGTTTCATTTTAAATGACTCAAAATTCAATTAATTATCAAATTTGAGCATTTTCAACGAACCGGTTCAAAACGGGTTTGAACCGGTTATGTTCAATTTTGGTTTCAAATGATTTGTAGATGCATTATGGACATAAATCACCAAGAAATTTGCAAACGTAATAAATTTTAGTGAACCGGTTATGACAAAAATCTACAGAAATATTTTAGAAAAATTGGGAAAAAAATAAAATAAGAATTTTATAATTGAATTTAATATTTAAGTACTATATTTGTAAAAAAAACTCACAAAAAATATTTAATTTTTATACAAAAAATAAAAACCGATTTTTTTCCTTTTTTAAATTTTTCTAATCGGTCCAAATTATGTAAACTGTGATTTTTATTAAAAATTTTACATGTAAAATGACATAAAATTGTTTAAAATATAAAAATTGGTTATTTTTAGCGAAACGGTTCAAATCGGTTCTGAACCGGTTTTGTGAAATTTTGATCTAAATGATTTGTAGGTGCATTATAAACACAAATTACGTGGAATTTAGCAATCGTAATGATATTTTGCGAACCGGTTATAATAAATTCCATATAAAAATTGGAATTTCGATTGGAAAAAAATTTTGAAAACGTATTTTTTATAAGCAAATCTAATAGAGAAAGTTTTGTTAAAAAATAAAAATGAGAAATTTTTAATAATTAAAAATTTAAATTTTTGGCGAACCGGTTTTAAATTTTCTGAATTTTATTAACCAATTTTTTGTTAAATTTAGTCAAAATATGACTTAAAATGGCTTAAAACGTCCCAACTTGGGTGTTTTTGTTGAACCGGTTCAAATCGGGTTTTAACCGGTTATGCAAATTTTCCATTTCAAATGAATAGTAGACTCATTAAGAACATAAATTACATAAAATTGTTAATCGTAATTGGTGCGAAGCACTTAATTTTATACACACTTTTTTTTGGAAACCCGTTTCAGAATTTGCATGAACCGGTTCAAAAGAAATGTATAGTATGCACATTTATTTATAAGTCTACAAATAATGAGGAGTCAATTTGAATTAATGTTGACATTAAATTTTGTATGATAAGGCAGGATAATTATATTTTCTATATTGAACCGGTTCAAATTTGTACATTTTTATGGTTTTATGAGTAAATTAGCAAAGAAAAAAATTAGATTTTGTGATTTTTGGATTCTATGGCGAAAAAGAATCGATTTGATGTAAAAATTTCGCATAACCGGTTCAGAACCGGTTTGAACCGGTTCACCAAAAAATGCATATTTTGACATTTTGAAACATTTTAAAGTGTTTAAAATGTGAAATAAATACAAAATATTAATTTAAGGTTACTTTTTGGAGAGGTTTTTAGAGAAATTTGGAAGGGATTTCCATTTTTGATTTGAGTTTTTCAGGGAAAAAGAAAACTATTTTTTTTAAAAATAAAATTGCATTAAATTTCTCATTTCTTTTTAAATTCTAGAGAATTTTCTTCTTTGGAAAAAAATAATTTGTTAATAAAATCGAATGCCATTGGAATAATTAAATTTCTCTTTTAAGAATTTTCTCGATGCTAATGCATGGTTCGTTCATCATTAATATGCAACACACAACACCATTTGTGGTAATATAACATTTCAATTCGTTCAAAATTTTTAAATTACAACAATGTTACAAAACTATCGATAAAACATTTTTTTTTTTAAACAAGTTTATAACACAACAACGTTGTAAGAGTTTCAGGCTATTCTCGGTTAGGTTAATGGATTTCATCGTCGTTGTTGTATTTACTTTGGCATGCCTTTCAAGTGATTTGCATGTGGCAACATGCTCAATCAATTGGCTGGGTGTAACAGAATTATACCTTCATTTTTTGTTGGTATTGTTGTTTTTTTTGTTTTTTTGTTTTTTTTTTTACTTTGCATAAAGAATTCCAATTTTGTTTACCAAAGAACGAACGAACTACGCATTGAAAATGCAACAACTACACCATTGCCATTGCATGATAATGGGCCTTCAGCACGCAACATGTGAACGTTGTGGTTGTTGCTATTGTTGTAATTTCAGGGAGTCATAAGAATTAAAACTGGATGCACACATTTAAAATACTTTTTTCAGTTTTTTTTTGAGTTAAAGTTCTTCAACAAACAACAATAATTGAGGTGGCGACTGAACCAATTGTTACAGCAGGGCATGTTGGACTCTGAGGAGGCCATAAATGCCACAACAACACATTCTGATATGCATGATGATGATGGTGACGTGTTGCCACGTTTTTAAATCACAGAGCGGCCCTCTTGTCCAAAAATTTGTACATTGGGGTCCTACATTTATTTTATGATGGGCTACAACTTTCGCGTGGTTAATTTGTTATGTTCGGCCGAACACTCGATGTTTTCGCTTTTTCAATTTTTATGGATTTTTTTTTATTCCTTTTTTTCTGGATTAGGCCAAGTGGTGATTAAACACATTTCATTGTGCCTTCAATGTATTATTTTTTTATTGTTGCCTGCCTCACTGCCTATTCGGCTAGTTCTGTCCATTTGACGACGCCAGCTCTAGTTAAATGTTTGCTTATGTTTTCTTGCAGATATCATTGTTGTAAAAGAGCGGGAGGTTAGTGACTTGTTGTAAATTTTGTATTTTGCTTTAATATGCAGTGTGTGTTGTTGTTGTGGCCAGGGCCGTCATAAACACAACAATGGCGGCTGCATTTGTCTGGCGGCTAACCATCACCACCACTACTATTAATTTTTTTTATCATTGTTGAACATTAGTTATTTTTATATGTATGTTTAATTCTTTGCTTTGTCTGTCATGAAAAACACACATACATATTTACATATGTATGGCCATTTATATTTGAGTTTTTCCCACTAGTTTAAAATTGAAGATAATTCTCTTCGAACATATTTGTCACATAAATGGTGTAAAATTACATAATATGTGTACTATTTTTTGATATAGGTTTTATAATAAACAAATAATTAGAATTTATAAAAATTTTGCCATTAAAAAATGTAGAAATTTTTTTCAGATTTTTAAAAATTAAAAAAAAACCGCTCAAAACCCGGTGTTAAAATCGATTTAAAAAAATAAATTCATTAATATCTGGTGTTAATAGGGCAAGAGAAATCATTTGGTACCAAAATTTTGAATTACCGGTTCAGAACCGGTTCAAAACCGGTTCGTCAAAAATCGGTGATTTGAGTACTTTTAAGCATATTTAAACGATTTCTGGGTGGTTACATAAATTACGTGAAATTGTTAATGGTAATTGGTGCGAAGCACAT